CCTGTGTGTTCAGAAATGCAAACACTGGGGAAGTATTGTGGAATTAGTCAGGCAAACAGGAACTGCACTGGTACTGGCTGAATAAACAGAACGCTCCCATGTTTTTCAGCTTGTGTCACTACAATTACTCCTGTGGCAAAGCCAGTAGCTCTGAAACTGTCAGCATCTGGCAGGTACTATTTTGAATTATCTGTAGACATAAGGTTAGGTCATTAAAGAAAAAATTGTGGTGTTTTTGATATCATCACGCTCTGGTATTTTTACCTGACAGTGCTGGTTCATCTCCAGCTCAGCTTAGAGAAGGCTGCTTGAGTGCACTGTCAAAAACCATACAGAGTCAAGGAATCAAGGTCCAGACATTGCAAAATATTAGTTACTTTGACAGATGTCCTATCTCCAAAGTACCAGTCATGTGGGTGGTTAGATATTGGAATTGAATTCTAGAATAATAACATAGACAGCATTGGAGTTGCTCTGGGTTTGTACAGGTATTACAGTACAGTTTCTTTGCTAACAGAGATTTAAAGGATAAAAAGAGTATGATGTTGGCAAAACTGCTGAAATTAGTCATGAGTCTGAAACCACTGCCATTACCAATGACGTAGAGCAAGAGCATGTTATGATATTCTGTCAGTGCCCAGAGCTTTATATAAAATTATACTGTGCAATACCAGTCATGTTATTTGCTTTAAAATCCAGTGTTGTTTTAAACCAGCTAGTTCCTAAAATGAACAGACGTTTATTTCTACTTTGGAAAAGTGATACAGCTTCACAGTAGCTCTAGGAGCAGGCTGTAATGTGGAAGATGATGTCCTCTCAGGGATGCCTAGCTCCTATCAATAGGTAAGGATAAAGTATTCTGTCACCAATTTTTGTAAGCATAATGAAAGGCTTAATCCTCTGCCCTCAGTGGATTTTCTTGCAGGAGCCATCTGCAAAGCAGGAGCCTCAGCCTGGGGTTCTGCAGGTGCTTGGGTTTCAGACAGTGCTTTACCCTTGCATGGTTGTTTCTGCTGTACTAACAGTGCTCCGTGCTGGTCCCCACTGCTCCTCTCTGCCCGTTCTGCAGCCCACAGCCTGCACGTGGCTCTGCTCTGCAGACTTCTGGATGAGCATCAGCTGGTAAAGTTCCTGGGAGCTCTGCAGATTGCATGACTGCCTGCACCCTCCCCCCACCCCAGGTGAAATTATGTATTAGCACTTCAGTTTTGCCCTACCCACGCATGAAATGAATTTGAACGATGCCATTTCATTGTGAATCAAGAATAAAATTTGCTATTTGTTGTCTTCAAAGAGAAGATGCTTTCATAGCTGACAGAGAAGGAATTGATCTGTAATCCAGTTACTGCTTTTGCTTTGTACAGAACTTGTTATCAGTGTAAAAATAGGATGCTTAACTGCAGTGGACCACAGCTTCACTCTCTACAGGCACTTAAAGTTGTTACTCTGATATTATTTTAATCTAGGACAGTATCGAGATCCTTATTTCTCTTTTCCTCTTTACCCTACCTACCTTTCCTTTAATGGGAAGATGGACCTACCTAGGGGATGCAAACTGCAGCTCTTTTTGTATTATCAATATGTAAAAAGAGAAGTTTATATTTCTTGTGTATGAATCCTTCTATTGCTTTTCTTGTTTTTTGTCTGTCATACGTGGTGCAAAATGATGGGTTCATGATGTGACAAAATATCCCAGCTGGCACATACTAATATGAGCACACTGCTGGGATCGATAGGAATTGGCAGGTGTGAGGGAAGATACTTTTTTGTGAGGAATTTAAGTTTTTCACAGTACTCCACAGGCTCTGATGGCCCTGTTAGGAGTGAATCATCAGGATTTCTCTAGAGCTCCTCTTGTCAAGGCTTCTCTTATTATTAGGATAGTGTGTGTGTGTCATAATGGATTGATGATAATGTCTTGAAAGATTTTTGAAAAGAATAGAGGATGTCTGTTTACAAGGAAATGGGGAAGCTGCCCAGTTGAATTTTGCTTTTTCCCTGTAGCAACAGAAGCCACTGAGTTTCCTAGGCTTCCCAAGGTCACTGCCTGGATTGCAGCTGACTGTTGATCTCTATAAAACAAATTAATTGTATAATCATCATAATCTTCTAATTTTTTTTGCTGCCGCTCAGTTGCCAGCCAGTTCCCCCTCTCTCTCCACTGTCTCTGTCCATGTCCTTACTCACAGTACTGAGCCTATAGCCAGACTTGGAGCTTCATAGCTCATTGTGTTGCTTTTGAACCAGTTGAGTCCAGTCATTCTCTCCTTCGTCATTTGCCTTCCAATTTTCCCTTCCCAGTAGGAGTGCCTTACAGTACTGTATATTAGCATCTCTCTTCCTGTTTTGGATTTCCTGATTGCATCTGCTGCTTTATTAACTTGTAGACTTAAACTGAAACTCTCCTGTGGCTGTGTCTGCTTTTTTGCAGGAGCAGCTGAGTAAATCAGTTTGCTTGTTCTGCCCTCATGAAATGAGCTGTACAGGCTTCATATACCAGCTCTGAAGACACCAAGCTGTGTGGGAACCCCTCACGTTTGCTCATTTTGGTGCCTTAAATTTTGAGAAGTGAATAATTTTTTTAGAAATGCTCTGCCATGATGCAATGTGTTTGGCATTGGAGCATAAAATCCTTGCTCATGACAGTTTCCACCTTGCTAGGAATGGTAACCATAAAATTTGTTTACTGTCTATACTTTGTGAGGGCATTGTAAGAGGGGATAGTGTGGAGATGGTATTGGTTCTTATTATGTGTATTTTTGAGACTAGCTGGGCTGCTTAGCCTGAGATGCAGTTGTGCAAGACTTTCAGAAGCCATGCATATATAATAATGTCAAGTACCTAGAGTTAAAATAGGGTCAGTCACATGCAGTTTTGCTCCTCCCAGAGCCCCTGGCCAGTCCACACAGCATGGCCAGGGACTCCCATACAGAGCTCCCTGCTGGCTTGCACAGCTGGGCCCGGTGCTGTGGGAGTGAAGGTGTTTCCTCAAAGCTCAGTTCTAATGCAGCCTGGCTCCCTGAAGGCAGACCCAGTGGGGGTTTGGTCAGCCTTACCTTAGAGAGAGGGCTAACCCGTTGAAATTTTAGCATTATTTGCTAAAGTATGTGGCATGTGTCAGCCTGGGGCACATGTCCATACTAACTGTGATTTTATAAGTCCACATTTGACACCAGTAGCAGGAATCATGTTTGACAGTGGCAGTGCTGTTACTGCATTTTAGCAGTACAGTGAGGAGACAGCCTGGATAATAATGTGCAAAGTCCTTCTTTACTTGAAAACCCTGGTAAGGCCATGATGGCTTGAGTCATATCTTAAAATGCCAATTTCACCCAAATTCCTTAGGGTGACCATTAATCCAAATTGCAGAGATGCCACTTGTGGTCAGCATCAGAGATATCGAGGTCTGGAGAGCTATCAGCTGTCTAGGACCAAAGTGTATTAGACTTTGTGCACAAGTGTCAGTGGCTCAATTATTTGTTTATTCCTGTCTAAGCCACATGTTAAGCCAGTATAAATCCTTGAATACACAGCATTGTTGTGGTGGAAAAAGGATTTGTGTCAGTTTTGCTTATGCACTTGTCTACCAAGTTGATTTTGCTTAAACTAAACTGTGCTTTCAGGCTGATTTTTAATTAATACGTGTGATACCAAGTTACCTTATACGAGTCCCTGCTGTACTTGAGGTAAGCAAAATTGAATTAATGTGTGTTTCATAGGTATTAAGTGATAAAGGCAGCTTCCAAATCAACTTTAGTTCAGTCAAGGCAGTTAAAAGCCAGGGAAAGCCAGGTGTGAGCAGCAGAGCACAGTGGCTGATGTGGTCCCTGGCAGCCTGGGCTTTCCTTCCTGCCAGAGCACCAGCTCACCTGCACCACTTACAGTGAATTTTAGCATTGCTGGCAGTGCACCCCAAGTGTTTGGAATACCATTATGTGTGTGTGCTACTCTGTTAACTTATTTGCAGCATTGTTGTGTGTGTTTCATTGTTCTTGTGTTTGCATTGTTGGTTTGGTTTTTTTTTACTTTTGACAAGGATTTTTTAAAAAATTATCTGCAACTACTGAGCAGTAGTCTTAATTTATTATCGATGTGTAATGATGTTATAATTTAAATCCATTGAGTTTAATTGCTTGTTGACACTTGAGCAGGGTTTATTTGGGTTCACTTGTGACTGCATCAGAGCACCAGTCCCTCCTGTATAAAGGCAACTCTCAATAAACACTAAAAAAATGTTACTTGTCCTTTTTAATTTGCCTTCTGGTGGGTACTGTACCATAGGTAGAGCAAGCTTTGAAAGAGTGATAGTTTTCTTAAAAATGCTTCTCTGCTGGTTAAAGTCTTCTGAAGCTAAGAAAATGTGATACTTAACTGTTCCCAGATCTCAGCCAGGAGGGCCTCTGGAAGTACTGTTGATGTCTGCATCAGGCTCTGGGGCTTTGGATTCCCAGTTAAATCTTGTGGTTTTGGAAAGCCAAAAATTCCTGGATTTTTAATGGTGCTGACCCCTCTGCCACAAGCTTTGAGGCACCCTTGGATACAAGCTGGGAGTTTTGCAGGAGGCAGCTGCTTACTGTGTGGCTGCCACGTGGACCTGTGCCAGAAGGGTCCAAGGTCAGGGCCTTGAATTCTAAGTAAGGGAGGTGTCTCCCAGGTGGACTGAGGGGACCACTGAGGGGCTGGAAGGGCAGGAATTTGCCCATGTTATAAGGGTTCTCACACCTATGGATGTAGGAGCAGGCAAGATTCTTGTTCTTCTTGGTTGTTTCTTCCAGTGCACCAGCTAAGGAGCTTCTGCAGCTCCTTGAATCTGGATTTGATGACTAAAGTTTGCACCACAGAGCTGTGGTGGAGTTCATGCGCCTAAAATTCCTGCCTTAGACTGCCCAGAGCATTCCACACCCAGCCCTGTGCTCTGGCAGCTTTCAAATAGAAGGATATATCCCTTCCTTCACTATCTTCCTGTCCCTCCTCAGAAAGACCCGAAGTCCATCAGGAATGTCAATCCTCTCTCCTGCAGGATACCTTTGGACTTCATCCCTGTGATGAAATCAGCTACAAGCAGTGAGTTAATGTTTGACCAGGACCACACAAGTTGCACAAGGAAACCATGTGCAAGACCTTCTCTTCCTCCTTATTTGCTTTACAAGGTGAGCAAATTTTGTTATGACATCTCCTTCCCCTTTCACTGCCACCTCCCTTCCTCACTTCACCCTGTAAGAGATGGTGTGAAAAAGCATCCATGGAGAGCAGAGACCATGGGTTCTGGAAGAACATGCCAATCCAAGCTCTAGTTTTTCTTTTAAAGTCAGGATAATTAATTTTTTAAAAGCTTCTAGCTCTCAGACCAAAATTAATACTATTTGGGTTAATATGTGAAGTTGACTGGTTTTCTGAAAGAATGGAGCTAGCAACCTCCTTCTTTCCTTAGGGACTGAGGGGGACCTTCCAGGTATGAGGCTTACCATACTTCTTCAGTGAAAGCATGCTGAGGGCAAATGAAAATATTCTGGGAGTTTGTGTACATAGCTCTGGACTGTCTTGGTAAGAGTTCTTGTTTAACTAAATACTCTCCAAAATAGTGGTCCTGTCTAGAGGCTTGAGTATTGCCACTATGAGAAGGTGGTGAAAAGCATCTCAGATAATCAAGTGTTAGAATTAAAACCAGACAAAGTCTCCAAGGCAAGCAGGAGTAAATTCCATCCATTTTAAGCATAGACAAATACAAAACTTGGCATTGAAGCTGTAAACATGCTTTAAAAAAGTCAGTCCATTGCTTGTGGTAAGTGACTTCCAATTTTCTATAATTTAGTTCAAGGCATTAGCATTCATTTAGATACTAAAAATGAAGGTGTAAGGCTCATGTGGAAAGCAAGACAAGTCAGATAAGAGCTTGTGTTAAGGGAATGAACTTTCATTGACCTGAAAATTCTCAGGTGTTTATCATGTAGGTAAAATATGATGCATTTAGAGGTAAGAAGGAATTATCAGTAAAATTAGGTAGTGTTTCAGAAAAAGAAAGTGCAAATTAGTGAATTGGTGCAAGAAAGTAATAGATGTAATAAGCATGCATGGAGCAGTTCAGTCCAAAGTGCTTTCCTAGCATTTAAAATTATAAATTAATCTCATTTCTGACTGACACTGCAGGCAAATACCTGAAGTGCAGCAACAAAGTAATGAAACACAAGGAGTGTGCAGTTTTGGGCACCACAATATAAGTAAGATGTTAGGCTATTAGCATCCAAGAGGGAGGCAGCAAAGATGGTGAAGGGCCTTGAGGGCAAGCCAAGGAGCAGCTGAGGTCACTTGGTCTGTTCAGTCTGGAGAAGAAGAGACTGAGGAGGAAACCTCACTGCAGTCACAACTTCCTTGTGAGGGGAAGAGGAGGGGCAGGCACTGATCTCTGCAGTGACCAGTGACAGGACCAGAGAGAATGGCCTGAAGTTGTGTCAGGGGAGGTTTAGGTTGGGTATTAGGGATAGGTTCTTCACCCAGAGGGTGGTTGGGCACTGGAACAGGCTCCCCAGGGAAGTGGTCACAACACCAAGACTGCCAGAGTTCAGGAAGCATTTGGACAATGCTCTCAGGCACATGGTGTGAGTCTTGGGGATGGTGCAGGGCCAGGAGGAGTTCAACTCCCTTGTTTTTGTGGGTCCCTTCTAACTCAGCTTATTCTGTGATTCTGTGTCTCTCCCTCAGTTTGTACCTTCCCCTGCAATGATTTCTGAGAGCAGGGGTGCAAATGCCCGTGAAAGCGAGGCTAGGGTAGAAAACAAATGCCAGCACCATTCTGTCCTCAGACATTGTCACGCAATAGCTTGTGACACTGGTGGATACTTTGTTGTGTACATATTGCAAAATGTCCTGTTCTGGCTTGGACTCTGCACTTCTGAAGGACACTTGTTTCAGATTTAACAGACAGCATATTCGATCCTATAAGCAGATCCAAGATCTGCTGGCTCCAGTGAAAGCTGCAGTTTGTCAAAGGACCAGAGCTGGGCTCTCAGTATTTAAAGACAGGAGCTGTAGTAGTGTATAAAATTGACAGATTCCTTGTGAAATACAAGTGCATCTAGCACAGAGTTAACCCTGGGTGATAACAGGTAAAAGAGGGCAAAAGCATAATAAAATACAGGTCTCTACTGTAGGTATTTACACAGTATCGACATTGTTAGCTGTGCTTAGAGATTTATGTCAAGTGTTAACTGCACTGTCATAAAACAATAAAGTACTTCTGTGAAGGGCTTAGGGCAAAGGGAGGCAGAGAAGTCTCGCTATATAAGGCCCTCCTCCTGCATCTGTGGTAATCCATGGGAATGTTTCCATAGTTGTCAGCAGGAGTTGTGTGGAGGCCTGCTAGGGGAGGGCAAGCAGAAGCACATTTACTGTGTTTAGAGCAAGTAACTAATGATTTTGTCTCAGGGAGGATATTGCCACCACCAAATTATAGGAGCTAACACAGCTGATAAGTCCACCTTGCAATAAGTGGAGAGATTAGGGTTTGTCCTGGTAGTAGGGATGTCCTTTGGTGTTTCATAGAAAGGTTGACAAGGACCAATAAAATCTGAGAGATTACAATAAGAGAACTACTGTGCTCCAGGTGGCCATGAGGTGAAAAGGGCTGGAGTCCAGTGTCCTAGGGTTTCTACACAGTGTACCCTGGACTCTGCACACTTCCAGCTCTAGGCTGTTGCAACTCTGCTACTCACACTGGGCTCACAGTAGGCTTCCCATCAGCATTTTGGCTGCAGGACCAGACTTCTCAGCTGAGTTTAGTGTTTATATGTAGTGGACCAAACTGAAACGCCAGTCCCAATCAGTCAGAGCACCAGGGAATTTAGATCCAGGCGCAGTGCCTGCCTGTCCATGGGTCTGTAGCTCCAGTTTGTCCTCCCTGCTTGTTGTATCTGCCTTTCATGAAGTTATGGCAAGATTGCTTCTCCAAGCCATGCTGATACATGGACTTATTAGAAGAGTATTGCTCTTCCACTAGAGATGGTTCCTATGTAATTGTTCCCTGTCTAGATGCCACTGTATGGGAAAGTGTTTTCTCACTTCTTTCCAGATGCAGGAGGTAATTCTTCTTTGTCAAGACATCTAGTCAAAGTCTCCCCCCCCACAGCAGACCCAGAGCTGTGCTGAGATGGGTAGGAGAATTACCTGCTTCCTGACCCTGCTCTGGACAATGCTTTTCACAGGTCAGTCAGCTTCAAGTAAGAGAAACATCTTTGTCCAGAAGACATTTCAGAGCCCTTCATAAAGTTGGGTATTGCTGCCAGCCTGGCTTGCCTTGCTTTCTCTGTCAGGAACCAGAGAGCTCCACACCTGCTGGTCTTCGCTGTTCTCTGAGGGAGCTGATAGGAGCTGTTTGGAAAACAGATGGGTAGGTGTTGAGCACTTCAGCATCTGACCCCATGTCTGTCAACTGTATGAATTAATTTTGAGCCAAAGCAACTGGATGAGCCTTCCATACTTCTTTCTCAAAAACATTGTCCATGCCATTTCCTGTCCCATATTTTATCTTAAAAACTAATGAATAGAGCTGAAATCTTTCCCTCACTTGTCAGCTACATCAGCTTTCAAACTCCAGGGCTAGCTTCATACTGGGACAGCTTTCAAAGTCCGTGGGCTCATTCCTGCCATATTTCAGTGTGAGAACGAGTTAGTCCCTCCTGAGTCCTGGACGGTGTCACAGTGGCAATAAACAGCTTCAGTCCCATGGCATCTATTGTCCCTTTCATCCCCCCAGCCCTCAGCTTCACTGGTGCTGGAGATGTGGCCCAGATTCATTCCTCTACTCCCAGCACCACAGAACCAGCACGTACCCCAGCAGAGTGCTGTAGGACACCCTGTCCTTGCATCCCACTGTCCTAGTGCAAAACACAGATACATTAAACTCAGTTTAGAAAGAGCTGAGCAGTCTCCCTTGTGTACCCAGAGCAGAGTGCCCTAGCACCAGCATCTTCTTGGCGCTGTGCGTGACCTTTTCCCGTGAATATCTCAGTGGTGTCCTCATCACATGAGTTCAGCCCTTGGCATGGTAAGACAGCCTGGGAGATTGAGATGACCCTTTTAGATTGCACATCTCTTGCTCTGCATAGCCACGCGTTAAAATTTTTCGCTTTACACTTCCATGTAGGAATACGGGGGGCCCTTGGAGCATGCTGCCCCGGACGGGCACGGACGTGCCCGCGGGAGAGACGCGGAGCAGAGCGTGTTTGTCGCTGCTCACACTTTTCTTTCTTCGCTGACCCGCCTCAGTGATTGGAAAGGACCCGTGTCCCGTGTTCCACCGCCACCCCCCCGCGCCCCCCTCTCCTTCCCCGGCCGCACAATTGTCACCGCCAATTAGTGCATTGTTAGGGCACACAATGGCGCTGTGGCCACTGGAATGGGCCGCTTTTGTGCGTCTCCAGTCGGCTGTAGGGGCAGTCAAGATTCATTTAGGGCCTTACACAACAAGGACAGAAAATACTATCAGAAAAGCAAAAGGGGGAAAGAAAAAGGGAGAGGTAGCGAGGGGGGGAGAGCCCGCTATTCAGGGGTTAGTCCAGCCGCATGAAAGGCCCAAGAAGCAGTGCCACATTGAAGACGCCCCTTGGAACACAAAAGGAACCGGGGCTTAATAGTAATTAGTGGGCAAACTGCAAAGCGCACCGTGGCTCTGCAGTGAATTGTTCTGCACTTACTGCCAAAGCTGCCCCTTCCCCCTTCCCTGCGCTCCGGGAGGGAGGGAGGGGAGCAGCTCGGGGTGGGAACTGGCAGCGCTCCTTTACCCACCGGCTCTGGGGAGGCCTCACCAAACTCTTCTTTGTGGCAGGTAAATTGGATTTCATTCTCTAAAGCTCGTAGCCAGTTCCAGGAGGTACTTTGCAGCCAGGGCAGGGGGATGGTTTCAGAGTCAGCACCGTGCCCGTGTCAAGGACCTTTAAACAGCCCTGTCCCTTCCTGCAGCCTGGCCCGGCACACCTTGAGGCTGGGCTCTTTGTCTGTGGCCTGTCCCTCTTTCCCCAGCAGAGACTGGGAGGCCACTGCTGTTGTTTTGCTTTTGTTGTTTCCCCATTTGTTCATAAAATAATCGCCTGCACGGGTTTTTACGTTCTATTTAGGGGAAGGCCTGATAGCACTTCAGTCTTCAGCTTAGTAAAGG